TCCTGTCCTCCATCATCCCTGGGAGTCCACTTAAAAACATGCCAACTGCTTCACTGACTATCAAGCCACTTCATTCTCTGCCATCCCCTTCTTCTGTCATTTATTGTTCCCAGCATCAGGCTCTTCCCCAGTGAGACCCTCCTTCTCATTAGATGGCCAAAGTATTTGAATTTCATTTTCAGTATCTGGCCTTCTAAAGAGCAGTCAGGGTTGATCTCCTCTAGGACTGACATTTGATCCCCTTGCAGTCCAGGGGACTCGTAGGAGTCTTCTCCAGCACCATAATTCAAAGGCCTCAATTCTTTGGCGCTCAACCTTCCTTTTGGTCCAATTTTCACAGCCATACATTGCAACTGGGAAAACCATAGTCTTGACTATACACACTTTTGTTGGCAGGATGATGTCTCTGCTTTTTAGCTTGCTGTCTAGATTTGCCATAGCTTTCCTCCTAAGGAGCAAGCGTCTTTTAATTTCTTGGCTGCAGTTTCCATCTGCGGTGATCTTGGAGCCCAGGAAAACAACATCTGTCACTACCTCCATTTCTTCCCCATCTATTTGCCAGGAAGTGATAGGACTGGAAGCCATGATCTCAGTTTTCTTAATGTTGAGTTTCAAGACAATTTTTGTGCTCTCCTCCTTCACCCACATCAAGAGGCTCTTTAGTTCATCTTCGCTTTCTGCCATGAGAGTGGTATCATCTCCATATATGAGGTTGTTGATATTTCTCCCGGCAATCTTAATTCCAACTTGCAATTCATCTAGCTCGCCTTTCTCATGATGTGCTCTGCATATAAGTTAAATAGGCAGGGTGACAGTATACAGCCTCGCCGAACTCCTTTCTCAATTTTAAACCAATCAGTGGTTCCATGTCCAGTTCTCACTGTTGCTTCTTGACCCACATATAGGTTTCTCAGGAGACAAGTTAGATGGTCTGGTTCTCCCATCTCTTTAAGAACTTGCCACAATTTGGTGTGATCCACACAATCAATGGCTTTAGCATAGTCAATGAAGCAGAAGTAGATGTTTTTCTGGAGCTCCCTAGCTTTCTCCCTGATCTAGCATGTGTTGGAAATTTGATCTCTAGTTCCTCTGCCTCTTTGAAATCCTGCCTGTACTTCTGGTAGTTCTCAGTCCACAAACTGCTGGAGCCTAGCCTGTAGGATTTTGAGCATAACTTTACTAGCATGTGAAATGAGTGCAATGGTGCAGTAGTTTGAGCATTCTTTGGCATTGCCCTTCCTTGGGATCGGAATGTGAACTGACCTCTTTCAATCCTGTGGCCACTGTTGAGCTTTCCAAATTTGAGGGCATATTGAGTGTAGCACTTCTACTGCATCATCTTTTAGGATTTTGAATAGCTCAGCTGGAATAATGTCGCCTCCACTAGCTTTGTTGTTGCGCAAACAACATTTGACTTCACATTCCAGGATGTCTGGCTCGAGGTCAGTGACCATCCCATCGTGGTTATCAGGGACGTTAAGCTCTTTCTTGTATAGTTCTTCTGTGTAATCTTGCCACCTCTTCTTAATCTCTTCTGCCTCTGTTAGGTCCCTGCCAGTTCGGTCCTTTATCATGCCCATCTTTGCATGAAACGTTCCCTCCATATCTCCAATTTTCTTGAAGAGATCTCTGGTTCTCCCTATTCTATTGTTTTCTTCTATTACTTTGCACTGTTAATTCAAGAAGGCATTCTTATCTCTTCTAGGTATTCTCTGGAACTCTGCATTTAATTGGGTGTATCTTTCTCTTTCTCCCTTGCCTTTCACTTCCCTTCTTTCCTCAGCTATTTGCAAAGCTTCCTCAGACAGCCATTTTGCTTTCTTGCATTTCTTTTTCTTTGTGATGGTTTTAGTTGCTACCTCTTGTACAATGTTGCAAACCTCCATCCATAGTTCTTCAAGCACTCTGTCTATCAGATCTAATTCCTTAAATCTGTCACCTCTACTGTATATTCATCAGGAATATGATTTATGTCATACCTGAGTGGCCTAGTGCTTTTCCCTACTTTCTTCAATTTAAGCCTACATTTTGCAACAAGAAGCTCATGATCTGAGCCACAGTCAGCTCCTGGTCTTGTTTTTCCTGACTGTATAGAGCTTCTCCATCTTTGGCTACAGAGCACATAGTCAATCTGATTTCTGTGTTGACGGTCTGGTGTTGTCCATGTGTAGAGTTGTCTCTTGGGATGATGGAAAAGAGTGTTTGCTATGACCATCGTATTCTCTTGACAAAATTCTACTGGCCTGTGCCCTGCTTCATTTTGTACTCCAGGGTCAAACTTGCCGGTTATTCCGGTTATCTTTTGACTTCCTACTTTAGCATTCCAATCCCCCATGATGATAAGGACATCATTTTTTGGCATTAATTCTAGAAGGTGTTGTAGGCCTTCATAGAACAGGTCAACTTCAGTCTCCTCAATACCAGTGGTTGGGGCATAGACTTGGACTACTGTGATGTTGAATGGTTTGCCTTGGATTCAAACTGAGATCATTCTGTCATTTTGGAGATTGTATCCCAGTACTGCTTTTCTTACTCTTTTATTGACTATGATGGCTGCTCCACTTCTTCTGAGGGATTCTTGCCCGCAGTAGTACAATAAATTATGAAATGATTGCTGTCACCTTCAATTTCAAATTATGAGCCAAATATTATCTGCATTTCTTTTAAAGTAATCAAAAACCACCAATCTAACAAATTAAAGAAGATTCCTGTGGATATGTTTGGGAAACTACAGTGTTCAAAAGCAAAGGTTTTTCAGGCATTTTGCTTTTGCATTGCTTTTGTTTTTGTTCTTAATGGGAAAGTCACAAGCTCACAGTTCAGCTTGGGTTTTGACATTTTTGCATTAAAAATCCTAAACTATTCTAAAATGATTAACAATTAACCCCCCAATTACATTTTTTTAAAAATGATCAAGTCTAATGATATTTTATGAAGTGCTGAATATGCAGACCCTAGAATATATTTTATATCTATTCCCCCAAAGTGTGGAAAGATTCTTACCAAATTTGCCAATGGCACAAAATTGGGTGGTCTTGCTGATACTTTACAAAACAAAACAAAATTCATATTGATAAGTTAGAATATTGGATAGAAAATAAAAGAATGAAATCCAGCAGAGACAAAAATCTGTGTTTCAGAAAAAGAAACAAAACGCAGAAGTATAAGATGGGGGATGCCTGGCCTTACAATAGTATATGTGGATAGGTTCTTCCAGTTTTAGTTGGTCACAACCTGAATGTGATGTGACTTCAAAAGAGACGAAAGCAATTTCAGGTTGTATCAATGGGAATTGATAGTTCCACTCTGCTATGCTGACTTTGAATACCACGTCCAAATCTAGACATCATAAAGAAGTATTCAGATAAATTTTAACAAATTCAGAAAATGGCAACAGAAATGATCAGGAACCAGAAACTAAGTCCACTGAGGGAAGGTGGAAGGAACTGGGTAACTTTACTTTTGAGAAGACAGAGGAAGGATATGATTGCACTTTTGAATTGCCTTAATGGTTGTTGCACAGAAGAAGGCTGTTCCTTATCATTTGTAGCACATGAAATAGCAGGCTTGAGTTCTAGGGAGCAGATCAGCAAAAAGTTGTAATGGTCAGAGCAGTGAGGCAATGGAGCCAACTGCTAGACGTACTCTGGCAAGATACTAGATCAGGGGTCCTCAAACCTTTTCACCAGCGGGCCAGTTGAAAGGTGCCGGTGCTGGGCGTGGGCCGGAAAGGTGGTGCCGGTGGTGCGCTCAGGCCTGCGAGGGGGCGGGGTGCGTGCAGGCATGTGTGCGTGCTGGGGCGATGCGCGAGACAAGATGCGGATGAGCGTGCACGGTGAGGGGAGGCGAGGCGGGGGTGGGCGAGCACCGTGAGGCGGGCACACAAGGCAGCAGCTTGCTCGCTTGGAGATCATTTCTCCAAGCGAGCAAACCACTGCCTCCCCGCGTGCAGGGCGAGGTGGGCAGCGGCGGGCGCACACGGCAGGTCCAAATGGAGATGGTGGGCCGGATCCGGCCCCTGGGCTGTAGTTTGAGGACCCATGTACTAGAAACTCATCCGCCACTGGATTCCTCTTCTGGGCAGGGGTTGCACTTCATAGCCTAAGGAGCCCCTTCCAGGTATACCCCTTCCATACTCATCAGATCACCTTTTATAGCATTTGCTGTGTATGCTTCTTTGCTGAGACATTAATTCCTTCCTTTCTATAGTTGATATTTTCAAGCATGTGCATGCAGAAGATTCATCCCTTCCAAAAGTACTGGTTGGCATAAACCACATTCATTCTAGAGCAGCCGATCCACGTGTAACATTTTCAGCAGTGGAGCTATTGTTTTCCCTTAATACTATGTATTTTTCCTGAGCATCAGGAAAAACTGCCTTGCAGCATTTGATTTTAGACTATTAGGCTAAGAATGAAGCTCAGTTTGCCTGCCAAGCAAATACATTAGGCAGGTCTCCAAAAACTGTGGTCTTTAACATACGTTGTTGAGATTGGTATTTCTGCTCTAAAGAAATGTATAGCTGAGCTTCAACGTGTTTATACTTAGAGGTGAGTAATTACTTAATTATTTATGCTTATGCAGCATAAAACAGAAACTAAAACTAAATGCATGTATTTGCATGTGTACATCTAAAATATGCCTTTACAGATATTATTATTGTTGTTGTTGTTGTTGTTGTTGTTGTTGTTGTTGTTGTTGTTGTTGTTAGAACATTTCTATGCCGCCCCTTGCCGAAGCCTCGGGGCGGCTTACAACACAATAAAATACAATACAATACAAAAATAACAATATAAAATTAAAATTAATAATATAAAATAAATAAAAAATATAAAAGATTTAAAAGAAGTTATAAAAGAAAAGTTGTAAAAGAAAAGATATATAATGTATATGTATGCAAATACAATATTTTATACATGTGTCTATCCTAACTGTAAAGTTTTAAATAAATAAGATGAATTCATTATCTGTCCATCTATATTCTTTTTTCAGCACCAAGGATGTTTATGTTACTCTATGTCACAAGCTTTGCCATCTATACAAGTGGGCAGCCACTTCACAGCCAGTTTAAAGGAGAAAATTATTCTGCAAGATATGTTTGTAGCATACCTGGTCTGCCAGGACCTGCAGGACTTCCTGGAGAACATGGAGTGCCTGGTCCTCATGGGCGCATAGGTATCCCAGGACGAGATGGCAGAGATGGCAGGAAGGGAGAAAAGGGTGAGAAAGGAAATCCAGGTAGTGTATGTTATTTATGTTCTTAAAAATCTCTGCTAAAAATATTTTGGAGTATATTTACACCGTTACTGCTCTAATCTTTGATCTTTAGGTTTCTGGGAATAGCTCTGAAGTTGCGCAGTGGCTACAAAACAGAGCTATGGATTAGGAAGACCTCATGTTGAATTTCCCATTTTCTAGAGACTTATCATTAGCCTTAAGAAATCTGCTCTCTTTCAGGCTCACCACTCCATTTGCAATTGATATACCTAGTAGTAAATGCTTAAAACACACTTAAAAAAATTACTTCTACTACAGCTGGGATCCCATAACATGGGCTCCTCTTCCTTTCAAGGTGGCACTTGTGTTCAGGGCTCCAACCGGCTTGGAACAGGATTCTTGTTGTTAGTTGCGAAGTCGTGTCTGACCCATCTCGACCCCATGGACAACATTCCTGCAGGCCTTCCTGTCCTCCACCATCCCCCCGGAGTCCACTTAAGCTCATGTCAACTGCTTCAGTGACTCCATCCAGCCACCTCTTCCACTGCCGTCCCCTTCTTCTTTTGCGCTCAATTGTTCCCAGCATTAGGCTCTTCTCCAGGGAGTCCTTCCTTCTTATTAGGTGGCCAAAGTATTTAAGTTTCATCTTCTCAGTATCTGGCCTTCTAAAGAGCAGTCAGGGTTGATCTCCTCTAGGACTGACCTGTTTGATCCCTTTGTAATCCAAGGGACTCACAGGAATCTTCTCCAGTACCACAATTCAAAGGCCTCAATTCTTCGGCTCTCGGCCTTCCTTCCGGTCTAACTTTCACAGCCATACATTGCAGCAAGGAAAACCATAGCCTTGATGATATGCACTTTTGTCGGCAGGACTATACAAGAAAGAGCTTAATGCCTCTGCTTTTTAGTATGCTGTCTAGATTTACCATAGCTTTCCTCCCAAGGAGCAAGCGTCTTTTAATTTCTTGGCTGCAGGCCCTGTATGCGTTGATCTTGGAGCCCAGGAAAATAAAATCTGTCACTACCTCCATTTCATCCTCATATATTTGCCAGGAAATGATAGGACCGGATGCCATGATCTTAGTTTTCTTAATGTTGAGTTTCAAGCCAACTTTTGCGCTCTCTTCCTTCACCCGCATCAACAGGCTCTTTAGTCCCTCTTCACTTTCTGCCATTAGTGTGGTATCGTCTGAATATCTGAGGTTGTTGATATTTCTCCCGTCGATCTTAATTCCAACTGGTGATTCATCTAGCCCCACCTTTCTCATGATGTGCTCTGCATATAAGTTAAATAGGCTGGGCGAAAGTATACAGCCTTGCCAAACTCCTTTCTCAATTTTGAACCAATCAGTGCTTCCGTGTCCAGTTCTCACTGTTGCTTCTTGACCCGCATATAGGTTTCTCAAGAGACAAATAAAATGCTCTAGTACTCGCATCTCTTTAAGAACTTGCCATAATTTGTTGTGATCCACACTATCAATGGCTTTAGCATAGTCAATGAAGCTGAACTAGATGTTTTTCTGGAACTCCCTAGCTTTCTCCTTGATCCAGCGTGTGTTGGCAATTTGATCTCTAGTTCCTCTGCCTCTTTGAAATCCTGCCTGTACGTCTGGTAGTTCTTGGTCCACATACTGCTGGTACCTAGCTTGTAGGATTTTGAGCATAACTTTGCTAGCACTTGAAATGAGTGCAATGGTGCAGTAGTTTGAGCATTCTTTGGCATTCCCCTTCTTTGGAATTGGAATGTAAACTGACCTAAACTTTGCAATTCTGTGGCCACTGTTGAGCTTTCCAAATATGCTGGCATATTGAGTGTAGCACTTTTACTGTATATTCTTTTAGGATTTTGAATAGCTCAGCTGGAATACTGTTGCCACCACTAGCTTTTTTGTTGTGCAGACTTCCTAAGGCCCACTTGACTTCACATTCCAGGATGTCTGGCTCGAGGTCAGTGACCACCCCATCATGGTTATCAGGGACGTTAAGCTCTTTCTTGTATAGTCCTTCTGTGTAATCTTGCCACCTCTTCTTAATCTCTTCTGCCTCTGTTAGGTCCCTGCCAGTTTGGTCCTTTATCATGCCCATCTTTGCATGAAACGTTCCCTCCATATCTCCAATTTTCTTGAAGAGATCTCTGGTCCTCCCTATTCTATTGTTTTCTTCTATTACTTTGCACTGTTAATTCAAGAAGGCATTCTTATCTCTTCTAGGTATTCTCTGGAACTCTGCATTTAATTGGGTGTATCTTTCTCTTTCTCCCTTGCCTTTCACTTCCCTTCTTTCCTCAGCTATTTGCAAAGCTTCCTCAGACAGCCATTTTGCTTTCTTGCATTTCTTTTTCTTTGTGATGGTTTTAGTTGCTGCCTCTTGTACAATGTTGCAAACCTCCATCCATAGTTCTTCAAGCACTCTGTCTATCAGATCTAATTCCTTAAATCTATTTGTCACCTCTACTGTATATTCATCAGGAATATGATTTATGTCATACCTGAGTGGCCTAGTGCTTTTTCCTACTTTCTTCAATTTAAGCCTACATTTTACAACAAGAAGCTCATGATCTGAGCCACAGTCAGCTCCTGGTCTTGTTTTTCCTGACTGTATAGAGCTTCTCCATCTTGGCTGCAGAGCACATAGTCAATCTGATTTCTGTGTTGACGGTCTGCTGATGTCCATGTGTAGAGTTGTCTCTTGGGATGATGGAAAAGAGTGTTTGCTATAACCATCGTATTCTCTTGACAAAATTCTACCAGCCTGTGCCCTGCTTCATTTTGTACTCCAAGGCCAAACTTGCCTGTTATTCCGGTTATCTTTTGACTTCCTACTTTAGCATTCCAATCCCCCATGACGTTAAGGACATCATTTTTTGGTATTACTTCCAGAAGGTGTTGTAGGCCTTCATAGAACAGGTCAACTTCAGCCTGTTCAGCACCAGTAATTGTGGCATAGACTTGGACTACTGTGATGATGAATGGTTTGCCAGGGATTTGAACTGAGATCATTCTGTCATTTTGGAGGTTATATCCCAGTACTGCTTTTCCTACTCTTTTATTGACTATGATGGCTACTCCATTTCTTCTGAGGGATTTTTGCCCGCAGTAGTATACCTGATGGTCATCTGAATTAAATTGACGCATTCCTGTCCATTTTAGTTCACTGATTCCTAAGATGTCAATGTTCAGTCTTGTCATCTCTTGTTCGAGCACGTCCAGCTTGCCTTGATTCATAGAACATTCCAGGTTCCTATAGAGTATAGATCTTTACAGCATCGGACTCTCCTTTCACCACCAGATACATCTGCAACTGATTCTCCTTTTGGCTTGGTCCCCATCGCTTCATTCTTTCTGGTGCTACTAGTACTAGCCCTCCGCTCTTCCCCAGTAGCATATTGGACACCTTCTGACCTGAGGAGCTCATCTTCCAGCGTCATATCTTTTTGCCTTTTGGTACTGTCCGTGGGGTTTTCATGGCAAAGATACTGGAGTGGGTTGCCATTTCCTTCTCCAGTGGATCACATTTTGTCAGAGCTCTCTGCTATGACCTGTCCGTCTTGGGTGGCCCTGCACGGCATAGCTCATAGCTTCATTGAGCTATGCAAGCCCCTTTGCCATGACAAGGCAGTGATCCATGAAGGGGTACAGGATTCTAGTCATGCTGTTTATGGCTTATAGAGAAGAGGAAGAAAAAGGAAAGGGCTCTTTTTCCTTTTTATTTTCTTTCTGAAGCCCTCCCCTGCTGTGTTGTAGAGTATTAATGGGGACAGAAAGCAAAAGGGGAATGCAAGTTTTTTATTTCAAAGGTGATTTGATTATTATGCACTCTTTTCTGCTCTTGCAGAAAAGGCAGCATAAAGGCAAGTATTCCCCTAAGGTATTTAATGTGAACTGGATGTTCCCTCTACAAATAATTCAATGTATTGTCCTTGTTTGGAGGTCACAGGGCCAATGTATTGGCAGAGAGTGGTTAAAATTATATTTATGTTAATTTACAAGTGTTTAGGGTTCTGTACACTCAAGGAGCCCCTGAGTGCATAGAAACCACTGCATTCTGTGGGAGTGACCCCATTTCATATCCAAGCTGATGGGCATTTAACCACCCAGGTTTGGCAGGAGGGGAATTATGAATAGCATAAATCAGTAAGAAGGAGCTGGGTGGCAGGGGGTCCTGTGCAAAATGAAGTTTTAAAGACTCTCTCTGAGAAGGGAAAGCACTTGCATTGGTTCGGACTGGGAACTTTTATACAGATAAATCAGGTGCAGAGATGGATTGTTAGGCTAATGGATCAGATCTGAACCTTAATCTCTGAAATCGTTTTGCATATCCTTGTGTTCCAAAGGTTTGGGAATGTATAAATTTGGAGGTGGGGTGAGGGGCTATTTGTCTCTGTAGAGCTGAAATGAACAATAATATCTTTCAATTAACAAATCAATCTGAATTTTTAGTTTCTTTACAAGTATCCATATTCCAGAATGAACCACTTGAGAATGTTGTAGCAAGTGTTTATTTAATTAAATTCTGTTTAATTTCATTTCGATCACTAGAAATTTCTTGAATTTGATTCATTGACTTGGATGCGACTGCTTAATTGTATTTAACTTGGTCATCCAGAAAATGGGTGTTTCCAATAGCAAGGAAACAAACAAATAAAAAGAATGAGGGAAAATCCGATTGCATAAGGGATAGTCCAAGTCTAAAAATACTGGTGGTGACATAGGAAAGATTTCTGCCATTAGAGGAATTTCGTTCCCAGGCGAATGACGAACGGAGTCCTCCACTGCTGAGTTGCCCTTGCTGGTACACCTGCTTTGCTGATATCCAAAGTATTTTTTCATTTGTGTGTAACAACCCAAAGTAATCCTTATTGATTTTTTCAAAGGTTTAAGAGGAAAGACTGGCCCTGTAGGACAAACTGGGGAGAAAGGAGACCAAGGAGAGCCTGGTAAAAAAGGACCTACTGGAATGAGAGGTGCTAAAGGGGACGTGGGTCCTGTTGGTCCAGCAGGTCCAAAAGGGGACAAAGGAGAAAGAGGGAAACCAGGTTTGCCAGGAGTCTGTAAGTGTGGGAAAATTGTCCTGAAATCTGCCTTCTCTGTTGGGATCACCACAAGTTACCCAGAGGAGAGATTACCAATCATATTCAATAAAGTCCTATTCAATGAAGGAGGGCATTACAATCCTTCAAATGGGAAATTCATCTGTGCTATCCCAGGAATTTATTATTTCTCCTATGACATCACCTTGGCAAATAAACATCTCGCCATTGGCCTAGTCCATAATGGCAAGTTCCGGATAAAGACATTTGATGCCAATACAGGAAATCATGACGTTGCTTCTGGATCAACAGTGATCTATCTTCAGCCAGAGGATGAAGTATGGCTTGAGATCTTCTACACTGATCAGAATGGCCTCTTTGCTGACCCCACATGGGCAGACAGTCTGTTCTCAGGATTCCTTTTATATGTTGATACAGACTATCTCGATGCCCTATCAGATGAAGATGAACTGTGATGCTGGGGATTTATAAGCACCTCTGAATGAATCCAGGCTGGTGAACACATCTGATCTTCATTGTTAGAGACAAAATGTTAAAGGCTTGTTCTGGGATTTTGGTACTGCTGTCAATGCTCCCAAAGTGGAAGATGATTGGTGCTTTCATGACTGACTGTGGTTTTTATTAAACAGGTGGTTCTGCTAACTCAGTGTACATAATAGTCCTCTCCAAAACCATGTTTATAATAATATTGAATAAAATTTTGATAATATACCTGCAGTTTTATATAAAATGTTGAGTAACAATGTGGTTCTCCAGAATGGGATGGATTTTCTCAGTTACTGAATAAGTATTGCGATGAAGATAAGTATGAATATCAGGGGTAAATAAGCTAATCCATCCAGGTGAGTGAGTGTTAAATACAAACCAGAAGAATTGTACAGGCAGTTACACTACTGTTACTTCTTGTTAATGCCTGTGAAGCCTGTGAAGGCAGTTTTGTGTGTGTATCCCCCCATTTCTAGCACCGTATTGCAAGGCATGAGTTTTGGAACTCACAGGAGTTTCAAAAGCAGCTCTGCGGAGCAACTCAATAGCCTGCTTGCTGAGGACAGAAAGGCAGCTACGTGCGTACAAAAATAACAAAGAATCTTGTGGACTCTTAAAGATTAATAAATTAATTCAGATGTAACCTCTGGTGTATTATAGCCAACATCAGATGCACAAAAGCCTATGACAAAATAAACATGTTAACCTATAAGGTGCCTATGACACAAGCACATGTTTGTTGCAACAGACTAGCTAACTCCCTCTGAAAATGGTTACAATGTGTGTACAAATTCTTGCCCCCATATATGGGGTCTTCCATTAATCACCGTCACCATCATTATAACAATTTCTGTAGTGCTTTTGAGTATAAAGCATTTCTCGTGTGTTGTCTAACTGTAATATTGCAACCATGTAAGAACAATCAATACTGTTCCCATGCTACAGATGAAAGGACTGAGACTCATAGAGTGTAGTTTGCCTAATGCCCCTGTTCATATCTGAGGGGGGCCCTAGAGAACTCCATGGTTAATATTCTGTCTCTTAGCCACTATGGGAGACCGTCATCCATCTTTCACAAATGACTCCTTCTAACCTTGCAGCTCCTTGCAGACTCCCCTGTACAACCTGGTCACCAGAAGGGCCATCTGTGAATGTTTTTGCTGTTCCAAAATCCACTCTGTGTGGTCCCTGCACTTTTCTTTTCACAATACTCTATGAACAGCATAATGTTGAACTTCTGATTTGCCTTACCCATTAATAATGCATTTGAATATTAGTTCAAAACTGAAAGATAACTTGGGATCAAATATAAAATAATTTATAGGCGTTAATCTCTAACTGTCCAGTTAGAAAAGATTGAGTTTTCTAATCATTTGGACAATGTTTATCTTTTTTTATTTTCAAGGCTCTGGTAACTGATCTCCATAGAAAAGATGTCAAGCAGCACTGAAAAGCCATAAACTACCATCTGTGGTGGTTGATCTGTGATGGTTCATTCAAACATGAAAGTCTGGACTTGATGTAGAGGCATGAACAGAGCCCATAACCCTGATCCAATCAGTTACAGGGGCCCTTGTGTCATAAGCATCCTCTGATGCTTTTAAGATGGCTTCCAGGTAGGGTGGTAGTAACTAGAACCACATGTTCCCTAGGTATGTGAACATAGACTTCTGGTAAATGGCTCCAATATGGCAAAGTGAGAGGCTGACTTGTTACGGATGAGTGGATTAAAGGGAAATATCTTAACACTTCCACTTCCCACCTTGTTTTGCCAGGGTTCCAGGAGTGTACTACAACCTTATACATTGAATGCCTAAAACTATCTTGTACTGTTCCTGAATGAAGCACAAACACTGAATGAAGGAACAGGGCTACCTTCTAGGCAAAATGGGAGGACTCCATGTAAACCTGACCTGCTACCTGTCTTGTAGAAATTAAACATTGTCTCCACAACTCCCGTGGCAACTTTCTGAGCAGTTATTTTTTTATGTAGTAGTGCTTAAGTGTTATGGTGGTGCTCATGTACCACTGCTAAGTATTATGCTGGACATTCTTATATGATGGTACCCTCATAATTTTAGCCCACTTATAACAAACTTCTGTTACTGTTCCTGAATTTACTGTTCAAGCAATTAAGTTGTATTACACTACAACATTTGTAATACATTATAGTTCAAAGCATAATTTTAATTCAAGGTACTCCAAATGTTGCTAGTTAGTTACACCTATTATTAAAATTAATTCACCTATAATAGATGAAAAATTGTGTTTTTCTTAATATATAGTGGATCATTATAGTAATGGAAAAATGATATTTTCCCCCATTCAAGATTTGTCTACTTCAATGGATGAACAATGTTGTCATACATTTCTGGAATCAAGTAATCACTGTTCTTGCAGCTTCTGGCAAACAGTGTTATGTACATTATATTTAGTGTGACACACACACACTCTGGCTGAAATCGCACATAATGACAAGCCATGCTGGAAACCACACAGGTATGACCTGTGGTTATGTGTAAACCTAGCATCCATGGTGAAGCATGGCACATTTGGTTTCCATGAAACCACATGAAGAAACAGTGGTTTGTTGTAACATTTCTGAGCTTCACCATGGCTTGCAGTTCTGTGTGACCCGACTTATGACATTGCCATCAAGTTTGGCAGCAAGAGTGGCCACAGCTGCAATAGTCTCCATTCTTGCTGTCCTGTTCCGCCCAGCAACTGCTGAGGCAGCTGGAGCCAGGCTCTGACTGGTTGCTTCACACCGCTTTTTTCCACTGTCCATGTGCTGCTTTTCTGATGCCCAAGCACAGCTTTGGAATAGCAGCAGCAGCAGTGCATTGCTCCATGCCATCTTCAGCAGCAGCGGCTGTGGAGGCAGCCGCCTTGGCACTCCAGTCTGGTTGCTACACTTTGTAGGAGCAGCACTTTGAAATGGCTTGAAGCTTGCTCTACTCGAGGAGCCGGAGTTCTCTTGTGAAGCCACCTTTACACAAAGGGAGCATGTGAGCTGTGTGTGGGCATAGCCATCAAGGCAATCGCCCTGAGAACTCCAGGTCTCCTTTCTCTTCCACCTATCCTGTTACTCCTGTCTTGGGCCCCTGTTCAGGCACAGGCCGGGTCCTGATGCACCTCCTCCTCTCTCAGCCCTCTTAATGGACAACACACTAAGCCACCTGTGCTTATAAACCCAGGTATATTGTGTGGATCTGGTCATTGCCTTTTTTTTCTCCCACAGCTTGCAGCTCATTTTATTTATACACTGATCTGTGGAATTGAATGCTGCTTGTTGCCCCTCCCAGATAGAGAGCATTTGCTTGCACTCAGGAGATCAATCCTAGGCAAGTCTGGGGAAGGGCCTATCTGAATCCCCACCAGTTAGTGTCGAGTCTATAAGGCAATTCCCAGCCTCGGGGGTTTTGTTTTTAACTATGTATTTGATTGAATGTACATTCATCTCCTTTTTTAAAAAAGCAGGTGTAATATCTTGGCATTGACTGTTAAGAGTTTTTAAAGGTAGAGGGAAGTGAATTAGTAACAGAAGAAATCCACAGCATCTATTGCTGTGAAGAAATAGAATAGATCTCCAAGAATTACCTAAAGTATCTTCAGAATGTTTACATTATGGTTTTGCCTCCTATTCACAATGAAATAATGTAGACATTAATTATGTCACCTACAGATTTAACATGTGCTAGCTCTTTAATATGCAGTATGAGTTTATTGCTGTCTTAGTGAAAAATTGGATGAATCAATAAATGGTTACTGCAACTTAATGTAGAACATCCAGTCTATTTTATAACTCTATTAAAGAAGGCAATAAATCTAACTCAATAAGACATTTATCTGAACTCTTAGCTGATAAATACAGCTTGAAAAGCCATCTATCTGAGTCAATAGGTTATATATTACCTGCTGAATTGTATCTAGCCTGACTTATTTAATACTTATATCTTTCCTTTGGGTAATTTATATTTTTAAGAAACCATTTATTGCATTCAATTTAAAATTCAGCATGTTGGACATTTATGCAAGGAAGAGCGTACCTTCCAGGAGTATGTAAGATTTCTTCTGATGTTTGAAGTATCTCTTGCACATGTCACATCTCATTAAAGGAGATTCCAAGTACTGTAAGGATGCTGTTGTAAATGCAATTTCAGTTCAGAAAATAAATTTAAATCAAGGCCTAACAAGAAAAAATAAACTGGCGTGTTTATTACTGAACTTCTTGATATCTATCACTTCCAGCTAGAAAGATTTTAAATTATCTGAGGAACATCCAAAGGTGTTCTGTGCCATTGTTGGCTTGGCTAATGCTGGCAAAGTCCCAAAAGTCTTTGCTGTGTTTGACCTGGATGTCCTCACCTTGTGTGGGTCTCTGGATGAATTTTGGTCCATCCTATCTGTTCCTACTTTCCTTATCCTTACAAGAATTCAGAAAATGTGCGTATGTGGGAGAGAAGCCAATGCTGCAAAGGCTTTTCTATCAAATTTGATAGACCTTTCCTTTAGCCTAGAACCAAGAACAGCCCATAAATACAGTTGCCACCTTCTTCTCCTGACAGGGCTGTGGGCAGCAGAAACTCCCTTCCCTGTTACATCATTCTTCTAAGATCTAAGGGCAGAACCCTAACTGTACAAAATCAGCATTCCTACCCCTAAAATGGAAAAACTATCCATTTTATCCTTGCAACAACTGTGTATGATAATTTAGGCTTTGACTCAGAAGCTGGCCCAAGAAGTTGCTTTGACGTGAGGGTTCACATGACACAACAAGCCACAATAAAGTGAATTCAGTCCATACCCGAAGTCCTGGATCCAGCTGTCCTGAGCTTCAGGTTGCCAGGGGACCCTGCTGTGCCCAATGAATGACTGGCACAGCACTCCCACCCCCTCAGGGAATGGGGAGCAGAAGCCACCTCATGCTGGGTTTCTAAGCCCAGCGGAAGCACCTCGTCCTGCCATGCAACCGCCATGCTGCTCAGGTGAGGGGCAGAGGAAGAAAGAGAAGTGCCCCACCCTACAGGGCAAGCTGTCCTCTAAGCAGAGGAGGGGTTCTTCTCCATGTCGCAGCTGTGCATGGAGAGACAGGAAGAAGCAACCTCTACCTGCTTGTCCCCTGGCTTTGCTGTGGCAGCCACAGGTGCCCTGTTGATTGAGGGCAAGTTTAACCGAGCCTTTTACCACAGGCGTTCAGCCAAACTTGCCCCTTCTCCAAGTCCCAAGTGGGGTATGGGAAGTTGTGGCAGCAGGTGTGTGTGTGAGGAAGCACATTTCCTGCATATCCCCAGGACGCCCAGCCAAATGTGCCGTCACTGTTCACAGTCCCCTGCTCTCAGCTAATGCACCAGCTGGTATGGGGAAAGGGGGGTACTCTCCTCAGGTAAGGGAGGCCTGAGGCTCTTAGCAAAAGGTTGGTATGAAGCACCTTGTGTCCTCCATTGCCCTGCATCAACAGGCCCAGAGGAGGGATCCCATGACAGTTGCACGAAATACCACTTGGACTCTTAGCCAGCTAATGTTGTTTTTAGATGCTTTACCAGAGGGGCAAAAATGGCAACCATTTTTTTTTTTTTTTTGCCACTCTGACCAAGGGGTTCTGAGGCCTTTCAGCTTGACTTGGTTAATAGTCCAAAAGGGGCAGTTTTACGTATAATATAAAGTGGGGCTTGAGGAGCCATACAGTGATGGGAAAGGCAATGACAGGTGTCCCTAAGCGCTACTTGGACACTATACTGGTGGCTGCCATAGGTGCTAACCTGTGCCATTTGGCAAGAGTGGCAAAGAGTGCCAAGTCACTTCGTTACGTGGGCACTTAGACCCTATTGGATCAGGTCTCTGGGATCAAATCAATCCCCTATGCGGCAACAAATCCTACAATAAGCCATGGCTCACCAGGGTGGTATACTAGCCAAACTTACCCCACCTTGCTTGACAAAAAGCTGTCCTAGGTTCCAGCAACACAGTGGCTTAGCCTGTTGTGCAAACCTAGTCAATTACCTGGTTCCTATGAGTATGAAGGAAAATATGCTACAATTGTCTCTTTTCCATGTTCCAGTAGCCAACTACTGGTTTTCTTTGTGAAACATGGCTTCTACACCCAGCAAGGTATACAAACAGAGGATGGCTTCAAAACCATCCTAAAATCCTGGAACAAGGGATTATTTGGAAGACACCAGAACTGCCTACCTCTGTGGGTTCAGATGACATGGGAACATGTATTGTGAGGGTAATTAAGCAAATCGAATAATGTGCAAATGGTGGGCAGGGGGCAGGGAAAAGAAGCCACTATTTAAGGTTTTTGCCCTGTGAGAACCCTGCCACTGTGGTATGTTATGATAAAATACTGGTTAACTTCAGGAACCCAGAAGAAACAATTATGATTCAAATGTTTTCCTTTAGAAATTCCCTAAAGCCTCAGTCCTATCGCTCCTTTAGTCTAATGTCCTTTTTGTCTGGTTTTAAAATGTTGTTTAAACATTTTTGTTGTTTCAATTACTTCTACTTTGGGATGCCTTGGTATAACTTCTAAATGCCAAAGTTTATGCCTCTCCCATGCTTCAAGGTGCTCACTAATATCCATTGAGTTCCATAACATACCAGCTGGCTTCCAATTTCACTGCAACTTTTGTTCTCTCAGGTGTTTATAGACATTGTAGAAATCCAGGATTTTAGCACAGCTGTGATTGAATGCCAGCATCTTCTCCAACAAGCCCCATGAATCTCTGCTCCTGCCCTCATCCTCCAGGAAGCCGCAAAATCAGGATTCTTGCTTTTTGCAACCTGACAAATTATGTATGCCAAATTTACTGAGATGAGTTTTAAGAAACGTTGAAATGCAATGCAAATTCCTGCACACAAGAGAGCCTGGAGCAGAGAGACGTTGTCTAAAACTGAGGGTAGAGTGTAGTCTGGAAAGTAGTCTAATAGTGCATTTAAGGATTGACCTTTACCAGCTAGAGATCTACACTAGCCTCTGTCTCCTCTCTACTGTCCAACATTAATGCATCCTCAAGTTACTAAAACTCCCCTCAATCAAACTGTACACACAAAATGCTACTTTACAAATAGCAAGAATTCCTGAGGTTGGTAATTTGTGGTGAAGGAGAAAGACTTGCTGGAACATGTGATGGCAGGACAGTTGTATTGCCACGTTGTTGCATGATACTCTCTCAGCATCCACTTGACGCCCCAAGCTAAACAGTACTAACACTGCAGGGCTGCAGGGTTGTTCCAATCCATTCTCAGAGTCAGTTTCTGCAACTTGCAGAATGGAAATAATTGGCTGTTCTAGGTATTTGCATAGACAGGGCTATTAAAAACAGCCCATTCTTTTAAAAAGCAAAAGAATGTGATGCTTCATATGAAAGCCCTATTAAAGCAGAAATTATTGAAATAATTATATAGAAATTATTAGTGCGTGCGTGCGCGCGGTCAAATAGTGGGGAAGCCCTCCTGCCTCTGGAGAGTATGAGAGTTACTCCGATGATTTCAAAGGACTACTCGTATTTCCACAACAGGGAATACTTAAAAATGGCCTGCTGCAAGGGAACCCGGAAAGAATCGACGCAGCCAATGAGATGCCCTTCTTATTTTCCAGGAAGGCTGCTTGGGATCGGCGAGCTGAGTCTCCGCTGCAGATTGTCAACAGGGCGCTCCACTGCGATCAGTTCACTCTTAGGGGCCCCTTGCAACCAGCGCACGAAGGATCGGTGCTCCCGAGCCAGCCGCTGAGAAGGTGGGGTCTAGTCCTCTAACTCGGCCGAAAGCGCCGGACCTATAACAGGCTCCCGAAGGCGTCGGGGAGGGACCAGTGTGGAGAGCCGCCGCTCCTCCTACGTCGTCCGGCGCGCAGCCGCGACAGGGAGGACGCTGTCGCCCGCGCCCCGCCTGCCGCCGGAGCTGTCTCCGGGCGACGGCCGGTCACGCCGCAGCTGGTTCAAACGTTGTAAAGCGGAGCTCGCTCCTCCCGCATCTATTTCTTAGACCATGGAAGTTGCCAGAAATGCTTCCTCTGCTACATGCTAGGAAAAAACAAATCCTTTGCGCTCTGGTGTGGTAAAAGGTACGTGCATATAATACGGGTGTAACGGGGGGGTGAACGTGGTCTTTCAGGTGAGGCCAGCAGTTGTGTTACAATAAAACTTTAAAAGTATTTGAAAGTAAGTCGCGCTGCTCTCAGGCGAATTTGCCTTCTAGTAAGTTTGCTAACAGTTGCACTACTACAGCCTTCTGCAACAGGGTACCCCTCATATATTGGACTGCAACTCCCATAATTCTCAGCCAGTAATGTTCATTGTTGTCTATGGGAACTATGGGAGATGGAGTGCATCAATCTGGTTGGAGACGATTGCACCACACGGATTTACATTGGGGTGAGCTGTAAATGGAACTCGGGTACTCCATAGTGCATAGGACCTGGCTATATTGAGCTGCTATGGCATAAACTCTGGTGGAAGAGGACAGCTCGCATAGTCGAATGCCTCAAGTGTTCTTCTCAGTAGATAAGCATGTGCACACACACTGGTAAGGAGAGGAAGCATATAGTGTAAACAAGGAGGCTATAAGCTCATGAACTGAAAAGGCAATAGAAGGTTCAGAATTTATTCACAAAGCCCAAAGCACACAAGAAAAGAAAGGCGATCCTGTTCACAAGAGCCCTAACATATGAGGATACTCATAGTCTGTGTTGCTAAAATTTGAGATGGATCGTATTACAACAAAATTATAGTACATAGTTCTAAGGGATTTCTTTGAAAGTGGCATCCAATCTTTTTCCAATAGACAGCTAAGGGCTTCAAATAACAGGGGAAATGCATTGTTTTCAGCATTTGGTGGTTTAGCTCTTTTGCCAATCTACTATTTATAGCCTGATCCTATTACAGTTTATTTGGTAGTAAATTTCACCAAGTTCAAGGAAGACCAAGTGTTAGGTATTTGTATTCACCTGGAATAGTGAAGTAGTCATCCCTGAAAATAATAGACAGTGAAATGAAAATGTCAACCCAGTGTGGTTGTTGTGAAAAAAGCAAATTCCATATTAGCCATAATTGGAGAAGGAATTGAAAATAAAACTAACAAGATTATATTCCTCTTATAAAGCTCTATAGCGCAGCCACACTAAAATATGGCCTACAGGGCTAGGCAATACACCTAAAAATGGATATTGTAGAGTTGGAAAAGTTGTTGCAGAGGGCAAATAAATGAACAATTCTCCTATTGCAACTTCCAGGATTGTTTAGCTTACGAAAAATTGAGTTAAAGGGAGATATGCTAGAGGCGTACAAAATTAGGCATTGTCTAGAGAAAGTAGACAGAGAGGCACGTTGCTCCCTCATACGAGAACCCAGAGTTATCCCATGAAGCTGACTGGTGAGAGATTCAGGTGAGATAGAAGGAAATACTTCTTCACACATTGCATAATTAAAAGATGGAATACACTTCCATAAGGAGCATCAGTGAGTACCAATTTGATAGCTTTAAAGGCTTATTTGACAAATTCATGGAAGATAAGGCTATCAGTAGTCACTAGTTCCAGTTCAAGAGGCAGTTTGTTCATATACATCATTTGCTGGGGAACATGGGCAGGAGGGTGCTGCTGCACTCACGACCTCTCTGTGAGCTTCCTACAGGAAGCTTCGTTATTGTGCAAGCAGAATGCTGGACTAGACCAACCTTTGGTTTGATCTAGCAGGATTTGTTCTGATTGGCCAGTTCCGGATGTGTCCTATATGGTTTGATTTGGTTAGGGATAGTCCGTTTAAGACAGATACAACCATGCTGTGAAAGTTTCAAAATCTTGGCAACTGAGAAAAATCACTTGCTGATCATTGGACTTGCTGATCATGTGTAGGGCGGAGAGTTCAATCAGATGCTTCCACAATGAGAGATGAATGCATTAAGAAGAAAGTGTCAGGACAAAATGAGCAAATGCTTTGCTATAACATGGCTACTAAAAGCCTGACACTGTAAGGCTTTAGACTTACAAGTCTTCTTCCTTTACACCCCTTACAAATGCTAATATCCCTGTCCTGAAAGGCCTGTCCTTTGGAGGTACACTCTTAGATATGCTAAATATGGACTTGTCCTGAAGGTTTGGCTCTTTGTATTGTGTTCAAACCTATTATTTTATTCTCCTCTGCCTTTAGCAAACTGTAGTCCCCCACCTGATCCCCCACCCTCCCCCAAACTGTGTATGTCACAGATAGGATGTACAAGATGTATTTATAACCTATCTTGGTAGCCCCTTCAAGGGCTGCCTACCTGCTGCATGTATTTTCTGTATGTCAGAATAAATTATAAATGTTCTTTTGATTATATACCCCCAGCAGACTCTCAAAGGGGGACCCTTCACTTTTGCCCCAAGTGTGTGTGTGTGTGTGCGCGCATGTCATCGGGAAAGTGATATGTGATAGCCATGAACATTCACAGGGAAGCGGCTACCACATTTCATCCAGATCACTTGGGAGGTGCATTGCGTTGCTTAATACTGGGATCGGTACTCTCAGTCACTCTCCTTTCTGATCTTCTGTGCAGCTGGGAAAGACAAGAGCACTGTCTGAAGAAACGGACACTGGACAAGATTGGTGCACCATGGCAACTACTAGTACACAGTCAGCACGCAGTAAGTGCTCCAGTCACTTGAATGGGGAGGAGAACAGATGTGCCTACTGTTCTTTTGAATAGGCTCCCAATTTAATCTTCTTGTCAACATGTACCTTCCAGCATTCTAGAACAGGAAAATGGGAATCAATACAGCAATCCAGCAAAATATAATAATGTATACTTCATAGCTCATGGAACTAAAAAAAAGTGGGGATAGAGGGAAGAGAAGAAAGAAGAAACTGATACTTATGGTGCTTTCTTTTAGTTTTTTTCAACAAGAAAAGCTTTTTTCTTTGACATATCTGAAAGGGCTACTTTGCTTTTCATAAAATGTAACAACTTTTCCTTCCTGCATCATGTTTTTTATCCATAATTCTTGGCAGAAAACTTAATAAATCATAATACAATTCTGTGCCAGCTGTTTATAGTGCCATATTGTGGAGTTGGTTGGACGCACATCTGTAGTAATTTTTTGAGTCTTGTGGTATCTTCTTGGAGGAGTGCTCCAAATGATGCAACTGAATTTCTGTAGATGGCTCAGCTTTCATTTGAGTGCAGATTCTCAACCTTGTCCCTTTGCCTGGTACTGCTTCCTCCAATCACTGATTGTTTGGTAGCTTTCCAGCTTTGCTGCAGCTTTTCCACATTCTGTAAAGTTGAAAGCCTCACCTAAGGCTTGATTACTGGCAATAAGAGCACGGAGCTGCAGCATGCTGGTATATTTTATATTTTGTCCTGTGGCTTTTACCTTTAACCCTGCCCCCTTTACTTTCAGCTCCACCTACCATTGGAACGCAGCCTCCTTTGGAAATCTTCTCCAAATGGAGTTTGGCTAAAAAGAATTTTTCCATCACTGCTTTGAAGTAAATAAACAGTTTAGCAGCCTTAGTTTTTTTTAAAAAATATGTGCATAAGTTTCTTCTTGGAAAGCTTGGCTTGTTAAGTGGTTATGATTATGATATTAGTACTATGCAAGATTAGAAGAAAGAAGTTCAGATATGCTTCGACTCTTAGAGGCACTAATAAGTTACTGTACGTATTGAAAGACATGGTCTTACAGTAAAAAATAATGATTAGGTCTAAGCCATGATTACATTGGAAACTGCACCTCTCTTTTCATGAGGTAATTTCCAGCTAACAATTAAAACTCAGCAAGGATCTTTACATACTTATCAGGTGATAAACTTTAAATGTAGTCTCCATTCTAACCATGAAAATAAAGATGAGAAAAATATCTAATAGCTTGGCTTTCCGGGCAAGAAAGTAATTGAAAGGAGTAGAAAATGCATGATTTTCATATTTATATGGTGTATGCATTAATGTAAACTATAGATTCTTTATTAAGCATAAAGAAGGGCTTTGAATAGAAGCCCTATTGGTCTTTATGGCTGAGTGGAGATTTGAAGCAGAGTGGTCTCCTCCATCTTAATCTTACACTCTAAGAAATATATCACACTGCTTAGCTTATTCTTATGGAGAGTGTAATAAATTATTGGGAACCGTTTGCTTGAAAATTTAACCAAGAAAAATGAAATGAACATGATAAAACACTACAGGATGATGTTAGAGAATTACACCACTATCTTCTTCCATCCCTCCCTTCCTGTCGTCCCTTCTTACAGTCAGACCATATGCACTTGCCAATACATATAGCCCATTAGCTGCCCTCTGCCAGCAGCAGTCTATGTGAGCAAAACACCCATCTGATGCCTTGCTTGAGGCACCCGTTTGCAGATCCTGTGACAGATGTGTGGGGAGTGCATGAGCACAGCTGTACGCCTCATCTGACTCCCTCATCTAAGTGAATATGGGGTGGGAGAAAGAGGGGCAGAGAGAGAAAATACCACCATCCTCTGCATTCTTTTCATGCAGTCTTGTTTGTATCATAGATTCATTTGGGATGTGCAGTTGGTCAGGCAAGTAAGGGGAGACATGATAGGGGTGTTTCAAATCATGTGTGGTGTAGAGAAAGTAGAGAGGGTGGGTACTCGGAGGAGGGCTTTCTCTGCGGCGCGCCTAATCTATGGAATGCGCTCCCCAGAGAGGTCCGCCTGGTGCTGTCGTTATTTGTTTTTCGGCACCAGGCCAAGACCTTTTTATTTAAGCGTCATTTTAATTGTTAATATTATTTGATTTTATCTGGCCAGGGCAACTTATTTTATATTGTTATTTTTTGTATTTTAACTTAATGTTTGTATTTTACAAACATTTTAATGTTAGGTTAAGTTAATGTTTTAACTTAATGCTTGTATTTTAACTTAATGTTGTGAGCCGCCCCGAGGCTTCGGCGAATGGGGCGGCATAGAAATGTTTTAATAAATAAATAAATAAATGATTTTCCCCCTTGTCCCATAATGCTGAAATTCGGGGTCATTCCTTGAAGCTGATCAGCGAGAAGTTTAGTACACATAAAAGGAAGTATATCTTCACACAGTGTGTAGTTAACTATGGAATTTGCTGATGGCTGCCAATCTGGGTAGCTTTCAAAAGGGATTGGTCAGGTTCAAGAGGGAGGAGGCTACCAGTGGCTACTACTATTGTGGACTATGTGCCTCCTCCTTTTCTGGAGGCAGCATGTCTGCAGGCACCAGTCGCTGAGGCACTTGAGCTGGTGAAGGCCTTGCAGCCATCCTGCCTGAGGGATCATGGGGACACCTGGTTTGCCACCAAACAAAGCTGGACAAAGTGGACCTTTGGTCTGATCCAGCATGGCTTTTGTTACGCTCTGAGGACTGTTTTTATTCCAGGTGTGCCTGGCAGTAAGCCACCCCCCCCCCCCTTCTTTTCTCCCCAAATGGGGGGCCCTTTCTCCCCCCCCCCCCCCCCCCCCAGGTGAGGATTCTCTACAGCCAAATGTCTGTCTGTTGAGATGGAAGGAATTGAAATCAATAGTGAAAACTTAATGGGAGCAGAGAAGCTGGATCAAGGGGTAAAATCAAGTAGACTTGTGGAACCTGAACTAGACAGGAGATGTTCTCTTCTTACTTCACCCTCAAGTGTTCATACACCCAGGGACTCCTGCTGGCCTGACACTGGCAAAGCATCACTGAGTAGGGCAGGGCAGAAGAGCAGATGGAGTATGGGGGGGGGTAGCTAATGTGGGAGGGAGTGGTGTGCATTCTAGTTTTGAAGGGAAGGGGGCAGAGACGGTGGCAGGAGAGCCAGCAAATGGGGCAGCTCGACTGCTGCCTCATTACTGAGAGCCAGCCCCTTCTTTGATGGTTTTCTTGTTGCGCTAGGTGGCAGGATAGGGCCCCAGACTTCTGAGAGCCACAGGTCTGCTAGCAATTGTTCTATTTTTGTCAGAAATACTAAATGAATTGGTTCAGTGGGCTTGCACAGTCCTCTGCTCCGTGTTTGAAGACAGTCTGCCTGTCCTGACAGGTTATAATGGCTGTCCTAGTGTCCGTTTGGCAGAAATTTTTGAAAGCACTTGTGTTATGTCGTGTCATCAGAATCCTGCACCCTTTAAAGTCATAATAATGTCCTTGGCCATGTTAGTGTGGATATAAAATATTTAATTGGAGCTTGTTTTGTTTTATTTTTATTTCTGTGCTACCCAATAGCCAAAGCTCTCTGCAGGCACTTCAGTTGTTTTTCCTTTAGCTGTAGAATCTTAGGAGGTTAGTTGTTTTATTGTTTCATGTGCTTTTTGTTTCACATTGTATTTTAATCTTTTAAATATTTGTATTGTAATTTATTTATTTATTTATTTATTAAAGCATTTCTGTGCCGCCCCTTGCCGAAGCCTCGGGGCGGCTCACAACACAATAAAATACAATGAAATACAAAAATAACAATATAAAATTAACAGTAATAAATAACAATATAAAAGAAGTCGCCCTGGCCAGGTAAATAAGCAGATATTGTTAACAATTAAAATGACGCTTAAATAAAAAGGTCTTCGCCTGGCGCCGAAAAACTAATAACGACAATGCCAGGCGGACCTCTCTGGGGAGCGCATTCCATAGATTGGGCGCCACCACAGAGAAAGCCCTCCTCCGAGTACTTACCCTCCTAATTTCTTTCACGGAGGGTTCCCGGAGAAGGGCATCTGTTGCTGATCTCAAGGGGCGGGCAGGCATATATGGATGTAAGCGCTCCTTCAGGTAACCAGGACCCAAGCCGTTTAGGGCTTTATAGGTCATCACCAACACCTTGAATTGGGCCCGGACTTCAATGGGAAGCCAGTGAATCTGACAGAGGACTGGAGTCATGTGAACATAACGCCCCGTCCCCGTCAGCAGCCTGGCAGCTCTATTTTGAACCAATTGAAGTATCCGGACCATCTTCAAGGGTAGCCCCACGTAAAGTGTGTTACAGAAGTCAAGGCGGGAAGTCACCAGTGTGTGTGTCACCGTCACCAGACAGTCATACTCCAGGTAGGGGCGCAGCTGATGAATCAGCCGAAGCTGAAGGAAAGCGCTCCTCGCCACTGCTGTCACCTGAGCTTCCAATGAAAGCTCTGGGTCGAGGAGCACTCCCAAGCTGCGGACCTTGTCCCTAAGAGGGAGTGCAACCCCATTCAGGACCTGGTCAAATCCACCCTCACCGAAGCCCGATCCGCCAACCAACAGGACCTCCGTCTTGTCTGGATTGAGCTTCAGTTTATTGGCCCTCATCCAGCCCATTACCTCGGCCAGGCACTGGTTCAGCACAGCCACTGCCTCACCTGGATTGGTGGAAAACAAGAGGTAGAGCTGGGTATCATCAGCATACTGATGATTCCGTAGCCCACACCTCCTGATGACCTCTCCCAGCGGTTTCATGTAGATGTTAAACAGCAAAGGGGACAAAATGGACCCCTGCGGTACTCCATGGCATAGCTGCCATGGTGCAGAGCCACAGTCCCCTAGCACCACCTTCTGGAATCGGCCATTGAGATAGGAGCAGAACCACTGCAAAGCAGTGCCTCCGACCCCCAATCCCGCTAGCCTACCCAGAAGGATACCATGGTTGATGGTATCGAAAGCCGCCAAGAGGTCCAGGAGAACCAACAGGGACGCACTCCCCCTGTCC